TCAAAGACAACTTTTGAATATAAGAAGAGGCAAATTATCAGTATTTGCCTAATATGTCTGTGTACCTCTTCCGTCAGGTGGCTGGTGACAAAGTTTAAGTAGAAAACTCTTATCATATCCTAAAGGACACACAGATCCAGTGTCAGTGCTAAAGAGCAGAACATTCCATGCGAATAATTTAACATTTGATGGAAAACAGCCAGTGAAAGAATCACGGGTAACTTCAAACTCCATTTCTAGGAATTTCTGAAAAGGCAATATTGGCAAAAGAGTGATATTTGACAGGTCATTTTAACTTTCTGCATTGTCTTTTATCTAAGTGCACTTAAGTTTTAAATCAGAAAAGTGTCAGCATTCTACATTTAAAATAAAATTGCTCTTGCTAGGTCATTAATGTAAGTTCACGATTTTAAAAATTTTCATTACTACAAAAGGAGAGAGAGGGAAACATGGAGAAAGGCAGGGAGAGAGAAAACGAGTTACAGCCACAAACTGTCTAAACACAAAACCAGAAATATGGAGCAACAAGCAGCCCTTTTCACTCAGATACATCACGTCCCTGCCATCACATTTCACTATTTTCGGTATTTTACTTCACTTAAGCTTCAAAATAACCCTGAGGGAGAGATTTTCAACTTCTCTTTTTGCTAACAAGGAAACAGACACAGGTCACACAAATGGCATTACGAGCAACGGGAGGAATCTGGATTGAAAAACCAAATTTGTTTCTTTCTACTTTACACCAGGCCAAAATCATTTGTAAATAAGATCTTTGTTCTTGAAGTAAACAAAGGAAACAAGTAAGAAGCTATGAGTAGAACTTTACCTGATCGCAGAAATAAAGAAATGGTAGAGAGGTCTGCAACTTACTTTGAAATGCACCAAAACCAACAACAACAAAAGACTAATTTACATACAAACAGAGGGATACAGAGAGAGAGATCAGCGGTAGAGACGGTTTAGTACTATCTTAGTGGTAAAATCTAGGTGCTAGGTATATGGGTATTTACTCTAAAATTCTTTTATTATTTTTGTAGTTTTGAAAATTTTCAATAAATGCAACAAAATCTGAGGTGAGGAGAAAAATATAGCATTATAAATTTAGTAAAGGGGCCGGCCCAGTGGTGCAGTGGTTAAGTTTGCACATTCCGCTTTGGCAGCCCGGGGTTCCGACACAGCACCGCTTGACAAGCCATGCTGTGGTAGGTGTCCCACATATAAAGCAGAGGAAGATGGGCACGGATGATAGCTCAGGTCCAGTCTTCCTCAGCAAAAAGAGGAGGATTGGCAGCAGATGTTAGCTCAGAGTTAATCTTCCTCAAAAAAAAAAAAATTAGTAAAGTGATCAAGTATAAAACAAATATCAAAAGTTAATTGCTTTTTTATGTTATAGGAAATTATAAGGAAAAGGGAGTTAGAAATTAACAGGTTTATAATTGCAATAAAAATAAACTGTCTAGACTGGAGCTGAAAGGTAGGGGAAAAAAATCCATGGACAAGCGCATAATCATAAAATGTTCCTAAAAACGATACCTAAATATTTTAAACATTTCACCTCTATATAAATGCATACACTTAATATGAATCCACTTATTAAAAATAATGTGTAATTGTTTACTACATGAAATAAAGTAAAAGAGAAAATCATAGTACCGTTTATCTGAATTATGAATATTCAGCACATAAAATAAAAGCCTAACATTGAAGTATACTAAAACTTTGACAAGGACTGTCCCTTGGGAACAGAACTTACAGCGACACAGATGTTATTTCACTTGTGTCAGACAGAACCTGAAAAGAAACATCCGAGAGGAATGTGCGGGAATCTTGTAGGCAAAGGATAAAAGCTCCATCTTAAATATAAAACATACTAATACTAGATATGCTGGATCACTCACCTCGTCAAAAAACGTTCATTTCTGAGAGTTCAAGAGTAAGTGGTGATGTTGGGTGGCAAAGAAGATTTAAAAACTAGCGGTGAAGGAGAGACGTGGACCTAAAAGGCAGAAGAGGAACGTTAAGGTACATCAAGTCTATTCCAGCAGCCAAGGTACCCGGGCTCCCAAGGTATCCGCCCACACACACATCGGTACCCCAGATGCCTACTACCACCACCCGGGTTAATCCCAGAGACCGCCGGACATTAACTCCGAAACAGTTTCTCCATCATTTAGCCCCAAACAAAAGCCGAACCATACACAGCGTTCCAATGACAAACACCACTCTCCAGATCCACCTTCCAGATCACTGAGCCCTACAGACAGTAAACGGTAAGGACCCCAAAATGTGCTCTCGGGACTAAGTCGTTGATCTCTGGAGATCTTTAAACACTAAGCACAGGAGCACCTCCTGACTGAGGCCGGAGGAACCCCAATCACACACACCCTATTACGCACCCCTTAGGGCTCCCTGCAAAAGAACACCCCATGCACCTTAACCTCCCGCTGGAACTCCTCATGCACCACCCGCCGCGGACGCCGGCAGACCCTCCCTCACCACTGTCCACGCAGACACCGGCCACTGACCTGATTTCCTCTACGCACCCTCGCGACCCGCGGGCGGTGAACTTACTTAGCTGAACTTGGTCCGCTTCGCTCACCATCGCCGTACGGTGGCCCACGAGGGTCTGAGGCATGTCTGCAGAGAAGAGACCTCTGGATTTCAGAGTTGTCCTCAGAGGTAACATGGCCGCGCCCTCGCAGCGGCCCCTGGGGGCGGCCATCTTTGAATCTCGGCCGTACGGGGGCAAAGAGGCCGGTTTTGCCCTCCTGAGCAGGGATGGCTGGGACGATGGGAGGTCACCGAAACCGGCCCATTTCTTGTCATCTGCACCTTTGATGAAAACGGACATAATGTGCATAAGCTCGAGCTTACACAAAAAAAAAAACGGCGCGGGACAAATCCCCTTCAGGGAACTGACTGCAAAATTAAAATGGCAGCGACATTTACCCACTGTGTACGCAAGTCAGGAAACGGCCCAGCGGGCGCACCCATCTTACAGGAAGTGGAGGTCCGTACAGCACAGAACCCGCTCTTGGGAACGTGCGAAGCGAAGATTCCTGCCCTGGTCGTTTCTAGCAGAAATCGGCTCTAGGCGACTTTTGAACAGAGAACAGGGTTTGGAGAAGCTCTGACCGTACAGGGATCGCGGTCATAGACTAGGAAATAAAAACAGCTGAAAGGCCTCAAAGTTATGTTTGGGGCGAGTCGTGGGGAAAAGGCCAGTAGAGGCCAGTAAAGGCCCAAACAGGTCATTGCCCAGTGCAAAGGGCGGAACCTATGACGGAGGCGGAGCTTTCCCTTTGGACCCACGTGGGTCCAAAAAGGCAGGCAGGGCTCTGCAGACCCGTGGCCAGAAATGAGAGAAATATGACACTTTCCTGGAGAATAAAAGATTGTGTGAAAAAAGAAAGTAATCGTGTTACTTGCGAATAGCTTCGAAAAGTCATAGTAATGTAAACTATAAATATGGATCCAACTCAACCTGTCAAATATATTGGGAAGGAGAGGAAATGCGTTTGTGTGTGATATAGATATAGGCATGTGCATAGAGAAAGAGAAACCGCCAAACTGTTTTAAAGAATCAATGTACCATTTTCCATTCCCAGCATCAATAATATGAGAGATCCACTTTCCCTGCATTCTCTCTAGCATTACAGAGATTTAAAAAGGAATAAGAAAAACAACCTAATTTTTTTAGTGGCTAAATAATTAATACACAGGCCACTTATTGTTTTAAATAGCAAATACTCATTTTTTAAAATAAGTGCAAAGTAAATATGAAACAAGAATGTTTTAACCCTTGAGATTCATAAAGATTAAATGATGGATAATATTCAGAGTGGTAAGGCCATGGGATAAAGGCATTCTATTATGCTACGCCTAAGTCTTATTTTTCTCATCTGTGCAGTGGATAGCAGTGTTGTCCACCACATAGAGCTTTGAATGAAGATGTTATCATCAAGCTTAATATGATTTTAAGTTAAAAAAATGCACACTACTTTTAATAAATACTCAGCATTACATTTGGTCTTTTTTCCAGGGACAGGATTGAGTCTAGAGTATATAAATTAGTACAATGTTTTTGGAGTGCAATCTGCAATTCCCCAATTTAAACATTTCCTTCTGTTTGAGATGCCAATCAATTTTGAGGATTCAGTAGAAATTATCTTTGTGAGAACATGACCAGGGATATTATGAACTATGTTCACTGCAGCATTACTTACAATAGCTATGACGTGGAAACAACCTGAGTGTCCATTGGTGGATGAATAAATAAAATGTGGTTTGTACACACACACACAAACACACACAATGGAATATTATTCAGTCACAAAAAGGGAAATCCTGCCATTTGCGACTCATGGCTGGACCTTGAGGGCATTTTGCTACGTGAAATAAGTCAGAGAAAGACAAACAGCATATCTCACTTATATGTGAAAAAACTGAAGTCATAGGTGAAAAAGCTGAATTCTAAAAAAAAAAAAAAAAAAAAAGACCGAACTCATACATACTGAGAACAGATTGGTGGTTGCCAGAGTTAGGGGGTTGGGGAGGTGGGCAAAATGAGTGAAGGTGCTCAAAAGGTCCAAACTTCCAGTTATAAGATAAGCAAGTCCAAAAGTAACCACCATAATAATAAAGTGTTGAACATCATTAGCCATCAGGAAAATGCAAGTTAAGCTCAAGATCAGATACTACTACGTACCCAATAAAATGGTTAATGTAAAATAGAATGACAACACCAAGTGAGGGTGAAGAGCAATTGACTCTCATATGTTGTCGGTAGAACGGCTAAAATAAAATATACTGAAAATACCAAGTGCTGACGAGGATGTGGAACAACTACATTTCATACACTGCTGGTGAGAATGTAAAATAGTATAGCCACTCTGGAAGAAAGTTTGGTAGTTTCTTATAAAGCTAAACACAACTTACCATATGTAATCACACACCTGAATATTTATTATAGAGAAATGACAACTTATGTTGCACAAAACTCTGTATGCAGATTTCAGCGCATCTTTATTTCTAACAGTTGAAACCAGGTAACAATACAAGTCTCTTTCAAGACTGAAGGGGTAAACAAACTGGGACACCCAGTATGTATGCTACTCACTAATAAAAATAAAACTACTCTTCACCAACACAAATGTCTCAAGAGCAATTTGCCAAGTGACAAAAACATGAAAAGCTTACATGCTCCCTATTAATAAGAAATTATAAATTTGTATAAATACAACTTATATAAAATGTATAAAATCCAGTTATAAAAAGGATTTTTATAACATTCATGAAATGACAAAAATATATGGGGGGAAGCAGATAAGTGGTCACAAGGGGTAGGTGTGGATAGAGTGTGTGAACATAAAAAGGACAGCAGGAGCAAGTTTGTGTTAAACAGTCTTACATCCTGTTTGTGGTGGTGGTGACATGAATCTGTATACATGATAAAGCTTCTTAGAATTACAAACTAAAAAAAAAAAAAATTTCATGTGAAATCCAAATAAGATGAGTTGTTTAGTTCACAGTCTAATACCAACGTCATTTTCCTGAATTTGATAATAAAATATGGTTACATAAAACGTTTTTACTGAGAGAAGCTAGGGAAAGGACACTAAGGAAGTCTCTGGACGGCGTTTGCATTTTCTCATAAGGTAAAATGACATCCAATTATACATTTTATAAAAATAACATTGAAGGTGGTTCTGTAAAGTATTTGGTTGTATTTATAAACTTAGTTAAGCAAGTGCAAATACGTCTTCATCTTCAGTTTCCTTTTAAAGTCGTTCAGTATGCTAAATATACAAGCAAATTCAGAGCCAAAGAAAGAGCTAATCACACATTATGGAGGTAGGCATAGAACTCTCCAGAGAACAAACACTCCTTGATGGTGTTCAGCAATCACAAGGAGTCAGTGATGAGGAAAGCAGACTACTTTTGAAAACAATGGAATTGACAAGGCAACTAGAAAGGAGGTTCAAAGTACTGTCTGAACATGACATCAGGTGAATTATCTGATGTATGAGGTTAGACTTCTAACAAGCACTCAAACATTTATCATTTTCACAGGACTTCATGAGTTCTCTGATACCTGACTAAAGGTGCTCCACAGTTAGCATGTTCATCAAGTTTTAACTTCTATATGGTTTCCTCACAAATGAGGAGGAAGAATGGATCACTGAAATCTTGCCATACATGTTGTCCTCTTAAAATTTTTCTCCAGTGTAAACTCTCGACACTCACTGAGGTCTTCTTTCTGGGTATGGTTTTCCCATGGTCATCATATATATATATATTCTTAATCATATTTCTATCAATGATGAGCTCACTGATGATCTATGATGATCCCTGATAACAATGTCTCTCCACAGAAGGCTTTCCTAGTCTCTGCATTCACAGAATTTGTCTCAGTATATACTTTTCAGACATAGAACGAAGTTAAAAGTTTTGCTCAAGGCATCTCAACCTTGAATGTATCAAAGTTTTTCCAACATGTTTTCACTGACAGAAAATGTGAGGTAAGGATCACTAAAGGCACTACCATATTCACTGTATTCACCACGTTTATCTCCAGGGCAAACCCTTTAATCTCCTCAGGGCACACATCCCACAACAGGCAGTACCACGGCTATATCCCGATCCGCCTGAAAGACAGATGTTTAATGAAGTCTTAGATGCCACGGAAGGCATTTCCATGGTTACTGCATTAACAGGGTTTTTGTTCTGTGTGACTTCCCTCATAAGTAATGAACTCTGGTTCTCTCTTAAAGGAATTTCCAACTTGACTGAGTCTACCCATTTCTCTTATGTGCATTTTTTTATGTTTAACAAGGTTTGACAAGTGGGAGAAGGTTTTCTCACAATCACTGCACCCATAGGGTCTCTCCCCTGTATGAGTTCTTTGATGTACATTGAGTACTGACTTTGTAGTGAAGGCTTTCCCACAGTCACTGCACTCATAGGGTTTCTCTCCTGTGTGAATTCTCTGATGGGTAATGAGACCATATTTGTGCGAATAGGACTTTCCACACTCAGTACATACAAAGGGCGTCTTTCCTGTATGACACCTCTCGTGTTGTATGAGGCATATCTTCTGGCTGAAGGCTTTCCCACATTCATTGCATTCATAGGGCTTCTCTCCTGTATGGGTTCGCTGATGTATAATGAGAGTGCGCTTGGTGGTGAAGCCTTTGCCACATTCATTACATATGTAAGATTTCTCTCCTGTATGGGTTCGCTGATGTATAATGAGAGTGCGCTTCACAGTGAAGCCTTTGCCACATTCACTGCATATGTAAGATTTTTCCCCTGTATGAGATCGCTGATGGACAATGAGATTACTTTTCACCGTGAAGCCCTTTCCACATTCATCACATATATAGGGTTTCTCTCCAGTGTGAGTTCGCTGATGTACAACAAGATAGCGCTTCATGGTAAAGCCTTTTCCACACTCACTGCATGTATAGGGTTTCTCCCCTGTATGAGTTCGCTGATGCACAATGAGATTGCTCTTCACAGTGAAGCCTTTTCCACATTCATTGCATACATAAGGTTTCTCGCCACTATGAGTTCGCTGATGTGCAATTAGATAGCGCTTCATTGTAAAGCCTTTTCCACACTCACTGCATATATAGGATTTCTCTCCTGTATGGATTTGCTGATGTACCATGAGACTGCTTTTCCCAGTGGAGCCCTTTAAGCATTCATTGGTTGCAGACGGTTTGTCTCTTGTATGAGTTTTCTGATGTTTCGTGAATGTGGCATTTCTGGAGGAAGATTTCCCACACGGATCACATCCTTGGGGTTTCTCACCTGTAGGAAGGCTCTCACTGTCATTGAGCTGAGACTTCCTCATGCAGGTTTTCTCACCTTCAATGCCTGCCTGGGGTTTCTCTATTTTGTGAATCCCGTGATGCTTAAAGATGAGGAATTTAGTGCTGGCTTGTTTTGCACTTTCAGGGAATTTAATTCCAGGACACAACTGTTCATGATTTTCATGTAGAAAGGATTTCTCATCTCTATTAAATGCAATAAGGTTCTTTATTTCATATCTTCTCTTCTGGTCAACTAAACTTAGACTTGACTTCAAAGCTTTTCTACATAAGTCAAACATACGACTTTGCATTAGGGCAAAATGTGTTTTGCTCAGATGAACAATATTTCTAAATGCATTCTGTTCACTGCATTGTGGCACGCTCTTCAGATATCTTTGGTTTTGAAAGTGCTCTTGCAGATGCCTGTCAACTTTCCCAATTCCTAGGAAAAAAGAGAATAACAAATTCTCTTGTGAGAATGGTATGGAACAAAAGTGCTTAAAAGATGATGCGATGGGGGCTGGCTCTTTATTGTCTACCATATGATCCCGGTATAAAAGAAAATTACAAAGATGTAAGATGAAATAAATACGTATCAGATCCAAGAAGAGACAAGGACTATATTTAAAGGTAAATACCCACAAAGAACAAGAGGTCTCAGGTGGGGAGATGAACATGTGGAGGAGCTGTTTAGGCATCCTAAGACATCCTCACAGCGGTGAGACTTTCTCTGAATGACGACAAAGCGACTTCCACAGCCACTCCCCTTGCTGGTTCTCACTCACTCACCTGGACAGGTTTTAGTCTGGATTTCCTCCTCTATTCTCCACAGTTCATCTCTGTGTTCCAACTTGAAGAGCACATCTGGTTTGGTAGCTTGATACCCTGTTCATGAGAAATGACAGAAGACTCAGATACAGTGATTTGGGGTATAGTATGTCAAGATGGGAAAATACCACATTTTAGAGACAAAACAACTTCTCCTATGCAAAATAAAAGTTCTCTTTGAGGATAGAGGAGATTACACCCCTTCATTTGAGGCCAGAGAAAGGACTGAAAATCTCTCTCTTCAGAAGACCACAGTGACTGCAGAGCTCTCATCAAGCGACAGACGAAAGACCAGTGACAGGGCACCTCTAAGTGACACAGGGAGCTGTCCTCACCCAGCGACACCAGATTGTGATAGTTCTCCAACATCACGTCTCGGTACAGGTCTTTTTGAGCAGGGTCCAGGAGCTGCCACTCCTCCCAACTGAACTTCACAGCCACATCCTCCAATGTCACCAATTCCTGTAATAACACAGTCCTGCTTAATATGATGTGAATTCCTTTTATTAATATGGAAGAGGCATGAGGGAAGTTGTTCTAATTTTTACCGCATAGCTGTATCTATATCCTTTCCTCAAACACATTTTAGTAGAAGCAAAATCCTATCTTACTATCTATATATTTTACCAACTATTTCCAAATGCTAAAAACATGCAAATAACATCAGCATAAATAAAATATTCCTCCATTATAATGAAACTTCACAGCCAATATGAGAATCAACCATGATCAGACTCCATATCCAGAATTTACAAGACAGTGGGGTTTTTTTTTTTGAGGAAGATTAGCCCTGAGCTAACATCTGTAGCCAATCCTCCTCATTTTACTGAGGAAGACTGGCCCTGAGCTAACATCTGTGCCCATCTTCCTCTATTTCATATGTGGGATGCTGCCACAGCACAGCTTGACAAGCTTGACAGGTGGTGAATAGGTCCACACCCAGGATCTGAATCGGCGAAGCCTGGGCCACTGAAGCAGAATGTGCGAACTTAACCACTGTGCCACCGGGCTTGCCCCTTTTTTTTTTCTTTTCAAGGCAGTGTTTTTAATAAACATAAAAGAATAAAAGAAACTATACAAGATATGTCTAATGCCAAAAAGATTATTAAAGTTGATTAGAAAGATTTGGGAAAAAAAACTTTAATAGACAAACATATTTACAAATACATATATTAATGGACAGATTAACAGCATTATTAGATATACTGTAGTGAACTGGAATATATAACTGAAGAAATTACAGGAAATGCAGTACAGAGAGAAGAGAACAATGTAAGGAGGAGGTTGATAAGTACAAAGTGTAGTGTCAAAAGATCTAACGTACGCCTACTTATAGTTTCTGAAGGAGAAAAGAGAGTAACGCAGAAGCAGCATCCAAAGGTCTAAAAGCTGAAAAATTTCAAGACTGATTAAGCACGCCAAACCTCAGATTCAGGAATCTCAACAAATTCCAAACAGGAAGTCTATACCTAGACACATCTGACTAAAACAATAATACACAAATGTAAAGGGAAACTATAAAAGCATCCAGAGACAAATGACAGATGACTTACAACAAATGATGGAATTCAGAAAAAAATGGCATACCATCTTCAAAGTCCTGATTTTTGTGCCAAAAAAGGCCATTTGGTATTGAAACATACAACTCTCCTCGTGGAGTCCTCGACAGCATCATCTCCTCCCAGCTACAATGTATGATAATACTCAACAGTATGGCCTATCAAGGAAGTCCACCTAAATCTGTGTCCAGTTTTTACTGAGGCTTCATTATATATGCACGATTTACTGAATCACTGACCACGTGGCTGAACTCAATCTTCAGGTCCTTCCCCTTCCTGGAGGTCGGATTGATATCACATGGTCAAAGCCATGACCCTCTAGTCACATGGTAGTTTTTCTAACCTGGACAGCTCCCATTTTGAGTTCTCTCATTAGCACAAATTATCTAGGGCCCATATGAATCACCTCATTACCATAAACTCTAAAGTGTGGGCCCAGTGGCCCAGGATGAATAACAAAGATACTCCTATCACATGGGTAATACCAAGGGTTTAGAGGTTACCTCTCAGGAATCAGAAATAAAGGTCAGTCAAATTCCTTACTATACACTAGGTATTTATGGCCCTGTGTAGTACCCTTTCCTTGATAATGGGCTGGCCTAGTGAACTGTTTCTAAAGAAAAGAATACAGTACAAGTGACGAGATGCCACTTTTTTTACAATTAGGCCACATATGACTTCCATCCTACTAACAGAATCTGTCCTCTGATGACTTTGACGAAACAAGTTGGCACGTTGGGGAGGCCCATGTGGCAAGGAACTAAGAGTGTTCTTACATGAGCAGACAGGTAGAAACTGAGGACCTCATTTGATCAGCCCTTCTGGAAATGAAGCCTGCCAACAACCACATAAGTAAGCTCAGAAATGCATCCTGCCCCATTTGAGCCTTCAAATCAGACTCCATCCTGGCTGACATATTGACTGCAGCCTCATGAGAGATTGTGAAAAAAAGTACCCAGCAGTGATATGATATATAAATATTTGATCTTGTCCCTGGTTCCTGGTACACAGCTCCTACAATGCTTAGAATCTCCAGTAACAAGTGTTTTTTGTATGCTAATGAGATGACCGGAAGCCACGCCCCTAGATAGCTTCAGGATGAGGGCTGGTTGCCAGAACAAACCACGTGATTAAAGGGTTGGAAATTTCAGCCCCACTCTCCAGAGTGTGGGGCTGGAGATTGAGCTCAATTACCAATAGCCAATGATTTAATCTATCTTGCCCAAGTAATGAGATCTCCATAAAACCCCCAAAACTACAGGTTGGCAAGCTTCCAAGTTGGTAAACACATTTAGGTACTGAAAGGATGACACACCCCCACATCTTTCCCTACACATCTCTTCCATTTACCTGTTCCTGATTTGTATCCTTCATAATAAACCTGTAAATCTAAGTAAAGCACTTTCTTGAGTTCTGTGAGTTGTTCTAACAAATTATCCAACCTGAAGAGGGGACTGTGGAAATCCCTGATTTATAACCAGTCAGTCAGAAGTACAGGAGGCCAAGGACTTGTGACTAGCATGTGAAGTGGGGGTCACTATTGCAGGTCTGGACCCTAAAATCTGTGTAATCAGATGCTAATTCCAGGTACCTAGTGGCAGAGAACTGGAGAAGTGGTGTTGGAAAAGAGACCACCTATTTGGTGTCAGGAGGAAAAAACCTTATCACTTGCTGTCAGAAGTGTGAGTAAAAACAATACAGACCAGCTAAGCCATGCCAACCAATATTACTGACCCACAGAAAGGGAGAGATAAAAAATGTGTTGTTTGAAGCTGCTAAGTTTTGCAGTAATTTGTTAGGCACCTGTCAGGGGAAAATTCACTTCTATTTTCCTTTCAACACTCACAGAGAACACTTCTGTGACCAGACTTCTATGATCTTAGCGTGGGTTTTCCAGACCAAGAAATTCTGGCACTAACTGTCTGAAGTTAGAGCAGACCCCACAGGTTAAGGGCTCGGTCCCACAAGACTGCCCCTCATTTCAGACACCAATCCCAAGTAAGGGTCTTCGGGTAACTCACTGAGTTGGCTACAAATCAGAGGTTCCCATAACTTTCTCTTTGGGTTCGATCATTTGCTAGAACAGCTCACAGAACTCAAGGAAACACTCCTTATGTTTACTGGTTTATCATATAATATTATAAAGGATATGGATGAACAGTCAGATGAAGAGGTACATAGGGTGAGGTCTGGAAGGGTCCCAAGCCCAGAAGCTTCTGCCCCTGTGGAGCTGGAGTGCACCACCCTCTGTGGGTGCACCAATCCAGAAGCTCTCTGAACCCTGTACTTGTATGGAAACCTCATCACATAGGCATGAACTAATAACTGATTAACTCATTATCCAGCTCCTCTCCCCTCTCTGGAGGATGGGGATGGGGCTGAAAGTTCCAAGCTTCCAAGCTTGGTCCTTCTGGTGACCAGCCCCCATCCAGGAGCCATCCAGGAGCCCACCCAGTCACCTTATTAGAACAAAACACAGTCCTATCACCCAGGAAACTACAAGGGATTTAGCAGCTCTATGTAAGATGCTCCTATCACCCCCGCCACTCAGGAAATTACAAGGGTTTTAGGAGCTCTGTGTCAGGAACCAGGATAAAATACTAAATATTAGCAGGAACCAAGGGCACAGACCAATATATGTATTTTTTATTATTTCACAGCACCAATAGATAATGAATAGGACACAAACTTTTCCAGAAAGAACTTACAAAAGAAGAGAAGAAAATATAGACTGCCTACAACACAAGTAAAAAGCCATAAAGAAAAAGACTGACAAATTTTAATTTAAATCAAAGATAAAACTTTTGCATGGGAAAACATATTAAGAACAAAAGCTAAAAGACAAGTAAGAGTCTAGAAAAATATCTGTAACAAACAAAAGGATCAACATGCAGTCAAGATAAACAACTATACATCAGTAAGACAAAAAAACAATTTTTAAAATGAGCAAAGAATGAGGACCACATACGGCAAAAGAAATAATCCAAAGGAGCAACAGAGATGAGAAGAATCTGAACCCCACTGGTGATTAGGAAAATGCAAAATAAAATAAGGCAAAAGAATATTGGATCATACAGATTGTGGAAAATATGCAATTTGATTAGAAAATAACAAGTGTTGGCAAGATTTGGGGCACTGGATGTTCTTACATACCACTTTTTACACACCAGGCACTCTTCTAAAGTCTTTGTAGATTAACTCATTTTATACCCTACATTATCATTAGATGCCATTATCATTATTCCTATTTTACAGAAGAGAAAACCCAGGTGTGTAATGGCTAAATGAAGTCGGCAGTCACACAGCTGGCAATTGGCTCCAGAGCCAACACTTTTAACCATAACACTAAATTGACCATAACCTGGAACAGCCATTTGGACAGCAACTGGAAGGATACATTAAAATGTAAAATGACCACACCCACTAATTGATTTCTTTCTAGCCACTCTGAAGAAATACGGATAGAATTTCACAAAAAGTCATTAACAAGGAAGATGAAGGCATGGGACCAAGTTTATAGTTATTGTAGCATTAAGAGTTTGGGGGGCCGGCTCCGTGGCCGAGTGGTTAAGTTCAAGAGCTCCGCTGCGGCGGCCCAGGGTTTGGATCCTGGGTGCAGACATGGCACCGCTAGTCAGGCCACGTTGAGGCAGCGTCCCACATCCCACAACTAGAAGGACATGCAACTAAGATATATACAGCTGTGTACTGGGGGGGTTTGGGGAGATAAAGTAGGAAAACAAAAAAGATTGGCAACAGTTGTTAGCCCAGGTGCCAATCTTTAAAAAAAAAAAGGTAAAAAAAAAAAAAGGGAGCTAAGAATTGGATTTTTTTTTTTTTCTTGAGGAAGATTATCCCTGAGCTAACTGCTGCCAATCCTCCTCTTTTCTGAGGAAGAGTGGCCCTGAGCTAACATCTGTGCCCATCTTCCTCTACTTTATATGTGGGATGCCTACGAGAGCATGGCTTGCCAAGCAGTGCCATGTCCACATCTTGGATCCGAAATGGCGAACCCCAGGCCACCAAAGCAGAATGTGTGCACCCAACTGCTGTGCCACCAGGCCGGCCCCAAGAACTGGATTTAAACACAGAGAAAGACTCCACTTTCACTCCACTCTGAGATGGAGTGCAAGTTATCAAGCAAACCCTGTAGATGCCAACAACCCAAGCCCTTACTAGAGAAAATTACTTTCAACCCACTACTGCTGAATTTCTACTCAAACTCTACTTCAGCTACTTGTTCATGGAGCACCATTTGAGAGTCATGCCACCTTTTAATTTTTCTAGGCCATTTTGGTTTTATTCCTGGATAAAAGCAGACTGCCACAAAGTTGGGTCCCTGGGTCACCAGGCTATGGTTCTCTGAAGAACTGAATCCACCTAGCTCTGCTTAATACATTCCCAGAGGAGGCTCTGAGGCCCTCTCTAAGAAACAGCTGTAGGAAATCTGCTTTTCCACTTATCAGAAGGCTGTGGTTAAGGATATGGTCCACTGACCCCCTCTAGGGAAATCCATCAAAGAAATTTCCTGAGACCTAAGTGACATAAACTATTGAACCCCCTAAGGAACAAGTCTGCTTTCTCCTCACAGTCATTGAACATCATATAGCTTTTCATGGTTCTCTGGCTGTGATGTCTGTTAGAGATACAAGACGCAAAGAGACAACTAACGTAACCCAGAGGATCCACCACAGTCACACATTATATTCCAACATTAGTCATTTACTATGACCCCTATGAACAATATATTCCTGATCCCACTTCGTCCTGATTTTAAATTTAGAGTCTACGTTAATTTCTCCCCAGAACCAATTATCACAATTTATACTTCTTTTACTTGAATTGATTTTTCTCAGGTCACCATAAATTCATCAGAAAACAAAGGAAAGACATAACAAAACAAATCACCTGGGCCTCAATCATTTTCCTCTGTGCTCTGGAAATAGTGAGTGACATGGATTCTAAGTCTTTTGTCTCTCCTGCATCTGTCATGAGGTTCTTATAGGCAGAAATCTTGGTGTCCAGTTAAAGTTGTCCCCAGAAATGAAGATATCCAAGTCCAAGAATCTCCTCTTTCTTCTCTCATTCCTTCACTTGGTCTCTCTTGCTCCTGGGGAGCCAGGACCTGTGGGCTGAAGAGCAAACTGACTTTGAGCATACATTCCCTCTGGGCCCAGGTGTTGTCACTGCTACTGTGCACTTACCTTAAATAAAGGACCCCAATATTGCAACTGTTCCTTTGTTTGGGGCCCCACAGGCATTCGCATCCTTGGGCAATACAACAAGGTTCTAAATGTGTGAAAGGTATGCCTTTCTTTGTGAAGCGGACGTGGCAGACTACAAAGGGGAGGCGGGACAGCAGAAGCAGCAGAGCACTTGCCTCATAGACAGGTGAATTATCAGGCCGATTAATTTTAGGAAAGAGGACGTATGGAAGATGCCAAAGATCTACACATTGTGTCCTTAGAAAGCATGTGTGCCCATGTACTGCTTCCAAAGTACCTTATATGGTCCATGGGCACACACATCTCAGTGTGAAGACCAATGTACTAAGCAAATCATAAACATTGTCTTATTTCACTCTGTGCACTAAAGGATTAACCTGGCCAAAGAGATGTTGGGCTTTTGCCCTCAGCTCCTCTAAGCCCTTAGAATGTCCTGCCTGATAAGAGTGTCTTTGCTTACTTGGGAGGCTTGGGCTATGCAAGATAGCCTATGCTAATGATGTGATTTACAGTGAAGGGCCTTGTACCACATGGTATCAGCTCAACGTCTGGAGGGGCTGAGACTAAGGTCAGCAACACAGGCAGTCAAGCAGGTGTATGTTCAATGAGCCCCAATAAAAACTCTGGACACTAAGGCTTATGTGAGATTTCCCTGGTGGGCAATAATGATAAAGAGGTGTATACATATGAGGAAGATATGATTACAAATCTATACACACCTAATGACAGAGCTACAAAACACATGAAGCAAAAACTGACAGAAAGCTTCAATACCCCACTCTCAATAACTACAACACACACAGAAAATCAGCAAGAATAAAGACAACTTGAACAACATAATCAACTTAACTGACATTTATTTAACACTACCCTCAACAGCAACAAAATATCCATTCTTTTCAAAGGCATATGGAACATTCACCAGGAAAGATCATATGTTAGGATATAAAGCAAATGTCAATAAATTAAATATATATTTCTAACCACAACAGAATTGAATTAGATATCAACTTCAGAATGAAATTTAGGAAATACTCAAACATTTGGAAATTAAACAGCACGCTTTTGAATAACCATAGGTGAAAAAGTAATATATATATTACTTAGATGAAATGGACAAATGCCTAGAAGGAGACAAATAACAAAACTGACAGGAGAGTTTCTAAAAACTTGAATACAAATATAATAAGTAAAGAAACTGAATTAGTAATTCAAAGTCATCTCACAAAGAAAAGCCTAGGCCCAGATGGCTTCACTGTGTGAAGCAAGGATTACCAAGAAATCAAAGCCTGACAAGAAAGTACAGAAAAACAAAACTAAAGACCAATTTCTTCCATGAAAATAGGTGAAAAATCGTTAACAACAGATTAGCAAAACAAATGCAGCATAATAAAAAAAAAATTAGAGACAACAATTAAGGTGGACTTATTCCAAGAATACCAGGTTGGTTTATTGTGTGAAAATATATCATTTATTTTCCAAATAGTCCAAAGTAATACAATAAAGGACAAAACCCACATGTTCTTCTCAATAGATACCAAAAAAGTATGGGACTACAACTAATATCCATTCATGATTAAAACTCTCAAAAAATTAGGAATGGAAGGAGACAAACTGATAAAGGGCATCTACAAAAACCAAAACTAATATCTACCTTATTGGTAAAATTCTGAATATTTTTCTCCTAGAATTCTATCCCTTACTATACTAGCTGTTGTAATAAGTTCAATAGGTAACAAATAAGTAAATACATAAATAAAAATTACAAGCATCCAGATTGGAAATGCAGAGCACCACTGTTGTTATTCATAGACAACAATATAGAAAATCCTAAGAAATACATGCAAAAAATCCCTATTAAAAACAATTAGCAAGTTTAGCCAGGTTGCAGGGTACAGTATCAATATACTAAAGTAAATTGTATATCGCTATATTAGCAACGACCAGCCAAAATGGAAACTTAAGAAGCAATTCCGCGTACAACAGCATCAAAAAGAAAAAAAAAAATACTTAAGAAGAAATTAAAACCAAAGCAAGACTTGTATACTTAAAACTATAAAACATTTCTGAGACAAATTTAAAGAGATATAAATAAATAGACATCCCAAGCCCATGGAGTGGAAAATTCAATATGGTTATGATGGCAATTCTCCCCAAACTGATAGAGAGTCAATGAAATTACTATCAAAAGTACATCAGGAATTTTATAAATATCAAGAAGCTGATTCAAAAATTTACATTAAAAAGCAAAGAACCTAGAATAGCCAAACAAATTGTAAAATAGAATTATAACGTTGGAGTGCTTATACTAGCCTATTTCAAAATTTACTATAAAGCCACAGTAATAAAGATAAGTATTGTACTGACGTGATGATAGATATATAATTCAGTGCAACAGAATTAGAGTTGAGAAATAAATACATGTACAGTCAATTGATTTTCAACAAAAATGCAAGACAATACAATGTGGGAAACGATGGTCTTTGCAACAAATTGTACTGGGACAACTGGATATCCATTTCCTAAGACATGAACCTAGATCTTTACCTCACACCATATATTAAATAATTAAATTTAAATAGATAATAAATTTAAATGTAACAGCTAAAAATATAAACTATCTCAAGAGAATGAGAAGACAAGCCACAGACTGGGAGAAAATATCTGCAAAAGACATATCTGATAAAAGAATATTATCCAAAATAAACAAAGAACTCCTAAAACTCAACAATAAGAAAATACAAATCGATGAAAAAATGGGTGAAAGACCTGAACTGACACCTCATCAAAGAAGATACAGAGATAGCAAATAAGCATATGAAAAGATGCTCAACACCATATGTAATAAGGCAATTACAAATTAAAACAATGAGATACCACTACATACCTATTTAAATAGCCAAAATTCAAAACACTGACACCACCAAATGCTGGAGAGGGTGCAGAGCAACAGGAACTCTCATTCACTGCTGGTAGGAATGCAAAACGGTACAGCCACTTTGGAAGACGGTTTGACAGTTTCTCACAAAACTAAACATACTCATATGATCCAACAGTCACATGCCTTGGTATTTACCAAAATGAGTCGAAAACTTACATCGACACAGAAACCTGTTTATGGATATTTACAGCAGCTTATCCATCCAGACAGCAAAATATTATTCAGGACTAAAAATAAATGAGCTATCAAGCCATGAAGACACAAGGAGGAAATGTAAATGCATGTTATTAAGTGAAAGAAGCCAAACTAAAAAGGCTACATTCTCTATGATTCCAACTACATCATATTCTGGAAAAGACAAAACTACAGAGACAGTAGACAGATCACTGGTTGCCAGCAGCTGGGGGAGGGGAAAGACGAAGAGGCAGAACATAGAGGATTTTTAGGGCAGTAAAACTATTCTGTATGACACTAAATGATGGATACACGTCTTTACACATTTGTCAAAACCCACAGAATGCACAACATCAAGAGTGAACCCAAACGCAAACTATGCACTTTAGGTGATAATGATTTGTTAATATAGGTTAATTGATTTTAACAAATATACCAGTCTGGTACAGGATGTTGCCAGTGGGGAAGGTTGTGCATGTGTGGGAACAGGGGGTACATGGGAACTCTATGTACTCCCTACTCAATTTTGCTATGAATCTAAAACTGCTCTAAAAAATAAAACCCTACCCATATGTATATCTATCTAACACACACACACATAAACACACACTATCTTAGAGGAAACACAGGACACATTTCTCTTGACCTTGGTTAGACAGAGAATTCTCAGACATGTCACCAAACCAGAGAGCCATAAAAGAAGAAAACTGATAAACTCAACTTGTATTAAAATTTTGCACATCAAAAGACACTCTAAAGAAAAAGGAAAAGGTAATCTATAGATGGAAAGAAAATATTTGCCATTCATGTATCTGATAAAGGACTTGTATCCCGACCACAGAGAGAATTCTAAAAATCAACAATAAGAAAACACAACAGAAAACTGCAAAAGACTTGCACAGATACTTTACCAAAGAAGATATGGATGGCAAATAAGCACATGAAAAGATGCTCAACATCATTAGGTAAAGACGAATTAAAACCACAAGATATTGCTCCACACCTATTAGAATGTCTAAAATTACAAAGAATGATGATACCAAGCACTGGCAAGGATGTGGACACAAGAACAACCATACACTTCTGGTGGGAATACAAAGTACAAGCACACTGGGAATGAGTTTAGCAGTTTCTTAAAAAGTTAAGCATACATCTACCACACGATCTAGCCATTCATCTCCTCGAGATTTATCGGAAAGGAAAACCTATGCAAATATAGATTTGAACATTAGTCATCACAGAAGCTTTATCTGTAACAGCTAAAAATTGCAAACTACACAAATGCCCAGCAACAGGTGAATTAGTAAACCCTCCAGAATGAATTGATAGCCCTACAATGGAATACAAAGCAACAAAAAGGGACTATTGAGACACACAGGGATGAATCTCAGAATATTAATACTGAGTGAAACAAATCAGAATAAAAACAAGTCACAGTGTATCACTGCATTTAAATAAAACTTTAAAAAATAGAAATTAACTTATAGTAATGAAAAATAGATCAGTGGTTGCTCGGGGAGGGGTGGGGAAACATGAAAGGGATGGATTACAAAGGGACACAAAGAAATTTCTGGAGGTGATGGGTATGTTCACTATCTTCATTGTGGTGATAGTTTCAAGAGCATATACGTCAAACTTACCAATCTGTACGATTCGAATATGTGCAGCTTATTGTATGTCAATTTTGCCTCAATAAATCACTTGGGAAAAAAGGGGGAAACTTAATGGTAATTATAATATAGACAGAGCTCAAAAATATTATGCTAGATGAAAAAAAGGTAGCCACAAAAGACTACAGATTTAATGATTCTGTTTATATGAAACGTCCAGAAATTGCAAATTAATAGAGGCAGGAAGATGATCAGCGGTTGTGCTTGCTGGGGGTAGGAGTGGAGACCGAGGCCATGGAAGACCAAGAACACTTTTTGGGGTAACGGAAACTTTTTAAAATTAGATTGTGCTGATGGTTGCAGAACTCTAGAAACTCAGCTAAAATCATTGAAGTGTACACTTACACTTGGGGAATTTTATGATATGTGAACGAAACCTCAGTAAGACTAACAACAACAAAAAAGACTTCCTTTTCTGCAGCACCAAGAGGGAATGAAAAAACAGGAACTGTAATTGCAAAAAAGTCTCAAGGAAAAGTTTACCCTGGACTAAACATAGCCAGAAATCTCTGGGACCAAAAAAAAGGGCACGAGAAAAGTTTAAATGGAGTGGGAAAATCTGTGTAATCCGAAAGTCAAAATGGATTACTGAAATTATCATTGAATACTTTTGAATATTTTTATGTCAATACTACTCACATTAACGAATGCATTTGACTCCAGGCAACACGCCACCGGTTCAACAACCTATGCTGACACTATTAAAAATGTCATGGCAACTATTAAAAAATGTATAAAATATCACCTCATATGTTGAGGATGAGAAATTAAGAGACACAATTGTCCTCATGTTTATACAGATAATCATAAATGTAAAAAAAAGTAACATTAAAAAAAAGGTCTAACTGCGAAATAGAATATAGGGTAAAGGAGATGCTTTTACTTGAGTTAGTATGACCCTAAAAGAAAACATCCAAAGAAGTATAATAAATTTGGACGCAAGGATAAAAACTACATCTTTAATAGTAAACATATCACTAGATCACTCGGAATCACACTGAATTTTGAGGGGACAGTGAGAAGAGTGGTGATGCGAAGAGACAAAAAGGTTTTAGTAAGGTCCTCGAGGGCAGACTTGAACTTGAAGGAGGGAACGGCTCTGGGTTAACCGGGGAAATGCAGCCTTCAAGTCTGTTTCCGGAATTCGAGGTTGGAGCCTGAACCTACCGATTCTCCGGGGGCCCTGGACCACCTCGAACACCGACAGCCCCCACCAGGCGTCTCTACGACCGAGTCCTATAGTCAATGGCGTATTAAACCCTAAACATGCCCAAGAAACCAACAGGGACCTCCCCGTAACCCAGGCTTCTCTAACACGGAGCCCCAGATTAAGTCGCGAACCTTGAAGAGACCCAAGTTCACTGACACAAACTTTCCACCCCAGTTCTCAACCACTGAGTCCCACAAGCCGAGGGCTCCACGTGGACCTCAACCCTGACCGAGTCGGCCTCTCGAAGGATGATTTCTTCAGACTCTCAATCACTGAGCGCCAAAGGCCCCATCACTTAACGCCCAGATCTCTCAGGGAGTGAATCCAAACCAAATCCCAGCTACAGTCCTTCACACAGGCTCGCGTGTCACCGTCCCCCCAAGGCCGGCAGTGCAAGTCCGGAACCCGACTCACCAGATCCCGAAGCTGTCTACACATCCGTGGCAGCGACTAAAGGCTGAGCCCACGTCCGCAACCACTTCCTACTCGGACGCCCTGCTTCGCGATCCCTGAAGACGCTGACCGGCTGGGACCCAACAGTCCGCCGAGGACCCTGGCGCGCTGCCGGATTTCCGAGTTCCGGCTGCCGCCCCGCTCTATGACGTAACATGGCCACGCCTACTTCGACGTTTCTGACGGGAGGGGCCATAACGGCTGTGGGGAGAAATCCAAATCATTCCCGGCCACCTCAATGCTTCTACCTCGTCGTTGCGAGGAACGGACAACAATGCTGTGCTAACTGCGTAAGATTTCAGAGGCCGGTGCCTATTCAAGGCCAGCATGGCGCGTTCAGCCAGCTTGGGGAACGAAGAAAGATGGCGGCGCCCGTTGTGCACTTTACGTCTGAGACGTTAGGCTGCAGCGCCATGGGTGCGGCCATCTTAGAGGAAAGCGTGTGTCCGTACGGCAGAGGCCCGCACGACGTGGGAAGATCAGATTTGTAGAAGCCGAGATGTCACTGGAGAGGCGGCGGTCAAAGGGTCGACAGAAGCAGTGGTTATTTAAAGTCTGTTTGGGGAGAGAGCGGTTGTGTGTGGAGTAGCTAAAGCAATAGGGCGGAGCTCCACAAAAATGCTAATATGTACCCACATGGGAGTGGATCCACAGCGACCTCTAGTGGGGAAAGGTAATGAAGGTGCAAATATGTGTACATGGTTTTTCCCAAAAATAAATGACGGGCTGGGGCATTTGAGAATATGAAATTATAAGATAATGTAATTACACTTTGTATAGTTCCCAAATTAAAAAAAGATCACACTTTAAAATGTTAGTTATTTTATGCAGGCGTGGGAGGCTTAATTGTATTTAAGTAGATACTCCCTTTTTAGAAGAGAACCTGGATCCAATTTAAATTTTTCATTCTCTTTGACCCCGCAGTTCTAATTCCAATAGTTAATTTGGTAAAAAGTTTTCTTAATATGAACCACAGGGGTTTTTGTAGTTTAGAAAAAGTGAAAAGCCTAAATGTACATTGGTAGATGAATATTTTGGTAAATTATAGAACGTCCACTCAGCATTAACAGTATATAGCAATTAAAAAGAATACTACAATTTTCAGTATAAAAAAAGAAAGATAACTATATTCTCAGAGGACAAAAAACACATCTGCAGGATAATATATATATCATGACCCCATTATGGGGGAGAGGGGTGTCATAAACATTTGTCATTTTGAAAATTGTTAATAAAAAAATAAGTAAAATTGGTTAAATACCACATTTAGTTTGGATTACTTTAGGTTTTGTGCTAACTGGTAGAGAATGTCAGAAGTTTTCACATTCCCAATTTTTGCAATTCTCCATTAATACATTTTTGTATCATAATTATGTATTATTTTAGTATTATTAAAAGATAATTTTTTTAAAGTTTTAGAATATTTGATGATGTAGACTTCATAATATAGTAAATGTAACATAGACTAGTCTCATTTTTTAAATAAAATAAATATACTTACATACATTTGAAAATGGGAGAATATACTGTGAACAATGCTTGACTCAGGTACAATTATGGATGATTTAAAATTTCATTTGCTTATATGTTTTCTAATTTCTATACATTAAGAATTTGTTTTCATAATTTCTTAAAAGAGTATTATATTCTCTTCACGGATTAAATTTCAGCCCCATTCACTTGGCATGTCAAGCTCTGAAAGGTAAGCTCAGCATCTGGTGGGCGGCAGAGCTCAGAGCAGCCTGGGCAGCCCGTCCTGGGATCCTGACTGATCAGTTTCAGGAGCGAGCTGATCTGATCTTGCCATGACAGCATGTGTAGGTTCACAGGACAAGAAGTAGAAAGGATCAGAGGGCCAGACTGGTGGAGTGCTCATTTCTGATTCTTTCCCATAGAAGATCTGCCTCGAGTCCATCCGGTTACAGTGTGGGGGTGGTGATAGGAGCACTAGTCCAGGATTTAGGGCAGAGATGTTCGAATTTAAATAGAGATCAGAAAGCTCATTTTGTAAACCCAGAGTCCTGGGCCCCAGTTCCAGAGGTTCTGGTTTAGGAGGTCTGGAGAGTGACTCAAGAATTTACATCTTTGACAAGACAATCCTTTCTCAGACAATCCTGAGGCAGGAAGCCCCAAGAAAACACTTAGAAACAGATGACAAATAAAAATGGCAAGCAATAGGATATATTGGAGCATACGAGGAAGCCATTTGGTATAAACCTACTTCGGCCTGACTTTGTTTTTTCCAAAAGGGCCTGACTGTGGCTATTGAGCACGCATTGCATATCTGCTTAGACATTTCCTATGGCCAGAACAAAGGCCCTTGAGATAAAGGTGCAAATTCCCCCCACATTGGCATTTCCTTAGGGATAAGCATTTTTCCTTAGGCTAGGAACTGATTGCTGCACTCACCTCCCAGCTCACCTGTGACCACCCAGCTGGAGACAACAGACTGCCACCCTGCTGCGTTCACTGAGACAGAAGACCTACCTGCTGTTTCCATCAATCGCCGTGCCGACAGAGCAGTCTCACCACTATCGTAAAAGGGACATTTCAATCCTATGTGAAACATCCTCTCTGGGGGTATATAACCAGTCTGTGCACTCCACTTCTTTGGTGCCCTTTCTTTGGGAAGAAAGGCCCCGGGTTATAATCCTCAGATTTAAGCTCAGAATAAACTCACCCAAATTTTCATTTATAGATTGGTTATGGATTATTTTCGTCGACACAGACCTGCAGTGTTCCTGGCTTACAAATATTATGCCGGCTGGCTTCCCTCAGTACACTTAGGTGTTGGTTCAAATTACATCTGCCCAGAACAGCTTTCCTTGAAAGACCTTACTAAAACAGCTCCTCCAGAACAACCTGTGTCCTAGGCTTGATATTTCTTCATAGCATTTATCAGAACTGACCTGCTATTGTGTATTTATTTTACTCAATCTCCTGCACTAGACTGCATGCTCCTTAAAGGCCATGACTTTGTCTGTTTTCTTTATTGATGTGTCTCCGTGCCTGGCACAGTGTAGATACTCAAAAATATTTTTAAAGGAATGGATTACTCAACATGGAGTTGGGGATTGAATTCTGCCACAATACTGTAAGATAAATGTCCCCCATTTTTTTTTTTTTTTTGCCAAAAGCAGGACTCACCCTTTGTAAACTGGATTGAATATACTTATTATATCAAGAGAAGTAATTCAACAGAAAAGAGAAAACAAGAGCTCTGTTGCTAGGAAACTAAGAATTTGTTGCCAGCAGACCTACTCAAAGAGAATTGATAAAAGTTCTGACAAAAAGGAAATAACAGAAGGAAACATGTAACATCAGGAATTTAAAAAAAGGAATAGAAAGGGTAAATATATCACCAAGGGCCTGGCCCCGTGGCTGAGTGGTTAAAGTTCCACTGGCTCTTCTTTGGTGGCCCAGGTTCAGGTTCAGATCCCAGTGTGGACCTACTCCGCTCACCAGCCATGCTGTGGCAGTCTCCCACATATAAAATAGAGGAAGACTGGCACAGATATTAGCTCAGGGTTAATCTTCATCAAGCAAAAAAAGAGGAAGATTGGCAACAGATGTTGGCTCAGGGCAAATCTTCCTCAGGGAAAAAAAAGTTTTAAAATAAACAAATATGTCACCAAATATAATAGGCTATTCTCTATTTGAATTTTAAAAATTATGTTTAGGGGGCGGCCCCGTGGCCGAGTGGTTAAGTTTGCGCGTTCCGCTTCAGCAGACCAGGGTTTTGCTGGTTCGAATCCTGGGTGTGGACATGGCACCGTTCATCAAGCTATGCTGAGGCAGCGTCCCATATGCCACAACTAGAGGGACCCACAACTAAAAATACACAACTATGTACAGGGGGGCTTTGGGGAGAAAAAGGAAAAATAAAATCTTAAAAAAAATTATGTTTAATGGTTGAGAGCAAAAATGACAGGTTTACCTGATGGGGTTCTCAATGTCTGTATAGGTGTTGACTGTCATTCGCTGTTAGGGAAACGTAAGTTAAGGCCATCATTATATACCCCCACACACCTGACAGGATGGCCAGATTCAAATACGACAGTGCCAAGTGCTAGAAACGACATGGAACGCTGGAGGGTTCAGAGACTGCTGGTGGGAATGTAAATTAGTACAGCCTTTCTGGAAAAGTCTGGCAGTTTCTTACAAAGTTAAACACAAACTCAACATGATTCCTGGGTATGTACCCTATAGGAACAAAAACTTATGTTCACATAAAATTGGGTACACAAATATTCATAGCATTTTTATTCATATCGTGAAACACTGGAAACAACCCAAATGTCCGTCAACAGTGAACAGACAAACCAACCAGGGGACTTCCACACCAAAGAATACCACTCAGTAACAAAAAGTAAAGCTATTTATACACCCCCTAAATTGGATGGATCTTAAGGGCATTTGCTGAATTTGTTGAGTGAAAAAAAGTCTACCTCAAAGGTGACATACTGTATGATTCCATTTTAATAGCGTTCTTGAAATGACAAAATCAGAGTGGTAGAGTACTATCAGTGGTCACCATGAATCAGGGTTGGGAGGAGAATGTGACCATAAAGGGGTGGCACAAGGATGTTTCTTTGTGTTGGCACAACAATTCTGCATACTGATTGTGGGGCGATTTACAGAAACCTATATATGTGATAAAAAATTTTTTAGAACTCTACACCAAAAACACAAAACAAAACAAAACCTCACACAAATTAGTGCATGCAGAAACTAGTGAGATCCAAAAAAGGTCTACAGTTTACTTAACAGCATTGTACCCATGTCATTTTATTCGTTTTGATTATGTAGTATGGTTATGTAAGATAATATCATTGAAGAAGCTGAGCAAAGGTACTCAAGATCTTGGTATATTTTATAATATGTGAGTCTAAAATTATTTCAAAACAAATTTTAGGAAAATCCTATTTAAGGTGTTTTTATAAACCATGTAATGCTACTTATAAACTTGGATAAATACACCCAAATATGCTGAATTACATTTATGAATATATTCCTTTTTCTTTTGAAGTGCATAGTGGACTGAAAGAGATGAATTTAGAGCCTAAGAAATGCAAGAGCTAATCACAGATGATATGAGGTGGGCACAGAAAATCCCTGCGTCATATATAACATTAAAATTTAATCGATCTTGAGAAGAGCCTACTTTAAAACTATGGAATCATTGAGAATATGGCTCAAGGTAGCCTGTCCGAAAATGGACATCAGGTGTATAATAAGTTTAGACTCATGATGGAAAACTCAAGAACACATCATTTTCATGAGGCTTCTTTGCTTCAGAATTCTCTGATGTTTTGCTAATGCTATGCCACACTGAGTGTGTTCATAACAGTTTTATTTCTGTATGAATTCATGAGAAATGATGAGGCAGAATGTATTGCTGAAACCCTGCCATATTCACTGCCATCTGAAAATATTTCTC